ATATATATATATATATACACACACACACATATATATTTGACGGGTATTATAAGATTAGTCGATGTATGTAAGCTGGTCTACAAACTCAAGTTACCGTTTTTTCTTCAAAAAATATTGCTGGTAACACTTGGCCATTAAATTATAAAATAGATGAAATGTAGTGGCTAAAATAAGAAAACAGGAGAAGGTGGTGGGGTAATAATGTAAATAGGATCGGCCAAAACGAAATTTCATTAGGACCCGAATGTCTTCCTCGTAGGTTACAAAAATGCCCCTTCTAAATATATTCTTTGTACAATTCCAACCCTTCCTCAATCCTTATCATCCCTTTCCTTTATATACACTCTTCTCCATCCTCATTCTACCACTCTACCACCACCACATCGCTGCATCTCTCTCTCTTCAAGACTCATCTTTCTCTCTCTACAAACATGACGAAAGAACCGGTGACAGGTCCGGAGCAGGAGCAGGAGCAGGAGCCGGCTTCCGGGAAGGACTACCACGACCCACCGCCGGTGGCGTTTCTCGACCCAAAAGAATTGACCAAGTGGTCGTTCTACAGAGCTCTCATCGCTGAGTTCGTCGCCACCCTTCTCTTCCTTTACATTACCGTCTTGACTGTTATTGGTTACAAGAGCCAGACAGACATAGATAAGGTGGGAACTAACCCGTGCGATGGCGTCGGAATCCTTGGTATTGCTTGGGCCTTTGGTGGCATGATCTTCGTTCTCGTTTACTGCACCGCCGGCATCTCCGGTGAGTTTTCACCACCTATTTTCTTTTCTTTCAAGTCTTGCAAACCACAGCTAGTGTTCATTTCTGATGCAAATAATTTAGAGGTGTGTGTGGTGTGGTCACTATTATTGCAATACGTTTTAATTTCTTTTTGGTTCAGTGACAAAAACGTCGTAAATCCCAACTTGAAGTTTTTAAAATCCTAAAAAATCTTAACATTTTTGACCGAAATTTAGGTGCTTTGGTGGTCCTACTGGATTTGTTACATAATTCACAAAGGACATGAGCAATAAATATTTGGATGAATGTGCAGGTGGTCACATTAACCCAGCTGTGACCTTTGGTCTGTTTCTGGCTCGGAAGGTCTCATCGCTCCGAGCCATCTTGTACATGGTGGCTCAGTGCTTAGGAGCCATATGTGGTGTCGGCTTAGTCAAGGCTTTCCACAAGACTTACTACAACAATTATGGCGGTGGTGCTAACGAGCTAGCTGAAGGCTACAACAAAGGCACTGGGTTGGGTGCTGAGATCATCGGCACTTTCGTTCTCGTCTACACCGTCTTCTCTGCCACCGATCCCAAGAGGAATGCCCGAGACTCCCATATTCCGGTATTAACCATACTGTTAATTATTCCCTCATAGTTAATTTACCATTAATTTGTGATAATCAATTAGCTCGATAAATGACTTGGTTATATTTCGTGAAATTAACACAGGTGTTAGCACCTCTACCCATTGGGTTTGCTGTGTTCATGGTTCACTTAGCCACGATTCCGATCACCGGAACTGGTATCAATCCGGCGAGGAGTTTTGGAGCAGCTGTCATTTACAACAAGGAGAAAGCTTGGGATGATCAAGTGAGTTTTAGCTATCTTAATTAATATATAAAAGAATTAATTAATGGTGGCTTACTGTTTTGTGAATGGATTTTGCAGTGGATATTCTGGGTCGGACCTTTCATCGGTGCAGCCATTGCAGCCTTCTATCACGAATTCGTCTTGAAAGCAGGTGCAGCGAAAGCCCTTGGATCTTTCAGAAGCAGTACCCATGTTTGAGATTTGGATCTTTAGGGAAAACCCTCGTTTCGTTTCGTTTTAATTTCATGAAAACTTGGAGTATTTAAAATGTTTGTGTGTGTGTGTGTGTGTGTGTAAGTATGTGGGTTTTAGGTCTTGGAATTTGTTCAAGATCGACTGATGGCAGCCATGGAAGTGCAATGTAAATGCTTTTTAGAGGGGGGTTGTATCCCTCGTGTCATTGTACGTTGTCGCTTAAAGCTTTGAATCTATTCAAATTATTGCTCATCTTTTTCATTATTTAAGGGATTTTTTAATTTATTATGAGAAAAAGAGCATGGTATGATATGTAGTTCTTAAGGCAGTTGTAAATACTTATCGGATAAATTTCTTTATTGGATGAACATGAGAATGAGCAAGAATCTTATCGGGTAAGAACGATGAGAATGATGGAGAGTCTTATCCAGTAAGTGAGGATGACGACTCTTATCCAAATAAGCGCTAACCCACTAAATTGTTGCATTTGATATTTTAATATACTAAAATCTTACAAGTCAAAATAAATCATAGTGTTGACTTCTATCGATAAACGATTACCGGATAAACAATTGGGTAAACGGAACACCTTCCTGTTAGAACTTGTTTGATGTAGGTAATAGTTTTGAAACCAAGCGAAACTTTTGAGGTTAGTAAGTGTGCTAGTGGGCTTTGCACACACACATTACGAGGAAAAAAAAGTTGTAAATCACATAATAATCAGACAAAATTGATGATTGTGCATGTGATCATTACTGGTTCTTGATTTATTACAATATTATTACATCATTATCACAACAAAAATCACATCATAAGAAGTCTTCTGTTAACTTATCAAAGCACTATTACATAATTATCATAGCAAAATCACATTATCACATCATTATCAACATTGGAAGCATCGACATAAGAAATATTTGAAGATTTCAGCTACCTTTAAGCGATAACTACAAATTGTTGATAAACACTAATATATTTATTTTTATTTATTCTAATTTTTATTACGAGCTAATTGTTTTAAAGTGTAGAAGTATTTACGCATTTTTGTATACAGAGGTCTTCTTGTGTACCCGTTGCAATGTAGCAGGATGTAAAATTGGAACGAATATAAACCATAACGTAAGGTATGAATTCACTTCTACCAAATGAATCACATAGTTGGGTTCGTTTATAAGAAGCAAGAACGGGAAGAAAGGAAAGTGATGTTACAACATCTTGATGAAATGATTAAAAAGAGTAACCAAATGAAATTGTCAAAAATTTCTCAAGCATATAGTTATATACTCGTACAATGTAAAGTGATATAAAATTTGAATAAACGAAATTATTTAGAATGTGAAAATGGATAAAAAGCAATTGATGTCATGCCTCTGAATATTACTTTCAATACATATGAAGAATTTTTAGGATGTTTGTGAGTCATGAGTTGTCATAGAGCACACAAGAATATTAAAGAGACCACAAGTTCTAAAAAATGGTGTTTGGCGTACTTAAAAAATCCATCTGTTATGCTCCAAATGATGGTTAAATACGTGATATAAATTACAATTAGATTCAAACTCAATCAAGAAAATACAAATTCAACTATAAGGAAAACGTTTTATTAAAAAAATGGCGTATGGTGTACTGTTTTAAGTATGACAATATGTAATGTATACATATAATCATATGTGAGAGGAGCTTAAGAAAGATAGATTAAAAGGCAACATTCAAAGTTTAAGAACTGACAAAGATAAAGGATGTTACCTTTACATTGTGATAATACACTACCTTTGATCTACTCTTCCACTCTCATTTTCAAGAACCAAATGATACAAAATTATTACGGTGCACAAATGGGCAACAGACCTCTGTGAAAAACAAAATGACAAAGAGTTACAAGCTAAAGTCCATGATATGAAACATAAGATAAGCACTCTTAACCATTGGACAAAAGACTTGGGACTCTTTGAAAGCATCTTCAAGAAGTTGTTCATTAGAAATAATTAGAAAGTTCTCACCTTTCTTTTCTAGAGCTTGTCAAAATAGGGAACGGGTGCCATTCAGATCTTGTGGTCCCCCCATTGGAAATCACCACATTTTCTCTTCCTTTGTAGGTGATACCATTGTCGAATTGCCATGGTCGACCAAGCAAGATGTGGCATGCATCCATGTCAAGAACGTCACAAAAGACTTATTCCTTGTAGTGTTTGCCTATAGATAAGGGAACCTTGCAAACCTGGGTTACATGAAATTGAGGTCCTTTCTTGATGCATCCAAGTGAGTATGGTGCATCATGTGGTTGAGTTGGTAGACCAAGATGGTTTACTAGTCTTTTGGAGACTAGATTTTCACAACTCCGATTATCGACGATCAAGTTGCAAACTTTTTTGTTGATTGAACAATATGTCTAAGAAAGATTCTTCCTTTGACCTTCCTCTTTTGGAGATAGAAGAACCCTTGTAATAAGATGTTGACTTTTTCTTCAAACTCTTCTTCCACAAACTCGACCCCTTTCATATACACCATATTTTCCACTTTTTTCACTGTCTACAAATCCGACGGTTCTCTGGTTGCTACATTAATTGCATCGATGATCTAGTTGTCCACAATGGTGGCATTTGAGTCCCGTTGATTTAGCATATTATTGATCGGTTTGCTGTGGTAGACTTGTTTTGAGGGCCGATATTGTTTCGTCTCTCGGGGGATTGGAATCTTGTGGAGTTATGCTCAGTTTCTCCATTCACCTCTCCTCTGGATAAGGGCGTATCCAAGGTAGCGCCAACAACAAACGTAGGGGAGAAAATCAAACCTCGCATAAAGAAAAAACTAAACCCGAAAGTTTCTTGTTGAATTTCTTTGTAACTGAATTCCAAAGTTGGCACACCTTTTCCTTTATCAAGTGATGAATTGGAATTTTCAGTGGGAATTTGGGAAGGATACCTACGAATAGGATGAGACTTATATGGATTTCTCCATTAATTCGACCTTCATGGCCAGGCTTGATGCTTCCTCACGGTCCACACTATTTGGGGTCCAGTTTTCTTTTGAATGGAGCTCCTTAACTTGCTGATATACGGTGCAACTTTCTGACATTTTGTCTCACGGATTTCATTCCGTTCGGAGAGCCGCAAGAATTCAGTTGTGTATTCAGTTATTGGTCTTGCACCTTAGGAACATTCAAGATACATCTTGTAGAGGATGTGCTTGTAATCTCCATAAAGAAATCTTTCCATCATCAATTGTTTCATTCGCCGCCAAGACTTCAATGTTTCTTTCAGTGTCTTTGGCGTTGTACCACCAGTTTGTCCCACCAAACTGCGGTGCTTCTTTTTAGATGAAAAACAACCATCTTGATTTGCTTGTGACTTTACACTTCCATGACGTCAAAGGAACAGTCGACCTTGATTTACCAATCTAAGAACTCCTTTACCCTCATACTTTCATAGAAGTAGGGACTGTCAGCTTTCATGCGGTAGTCGGATCGTTACGGGGTGGTTCGGCTTCCTCCTTGGATTTTGATTCAGAACTTGAATTGATGGTTCGATTGTGTTGGCCACCATGTGATGGTCGATTTCAATCTTCTTGCATATCCCTCCTTCGTCATTCATTGTTGTTGGCATTGATCTGATTTGCGAAGGTTGTGGCCAGAGTGGTGAGGGTTGCGGTAAAAGCCGTTGTGATCAATGAAGATATGCTCTAGTAAGGGGTTGTTGATTTGTCTTAGCAAAGGTAAAGAGACATAAAATATATGTTTGATACTAATTAATGCAGTAGAAAACGATAATGGGTTGAGAAGCGTCTAATCCCAAAGGCTAAGAGGCTTACAATCGTAAGAACTCAAATGTACTTCAGAAAAATAAAAGAAGGCTTTATTGATAACTTGACGATCTAATTCAAACATTAGGCTAAAAGGTGTAAATTATCAATGGTCGAGTTTTTTTTTTTTTTTTTTTTAATAGAGTAGTTTTTAAATTGCTTTTGTAAAAATAAAGTAATTTTAATTTATTTTGCAAAATTAGGATGATAGTACCTACAATTATTTTGAATTCAACCCGTTTTAATATAATAACAATAATCAATTACACCTTTTCCTTATTTTTAGTTATTATATTATACCCTTGTCATATATTTTTGGTATAAATTTAACTATTTTTAAATATATAAATAAAATTAATTTATTGTATTTAACAATTTTATTTTATAAAAAATATCTCATCAATACTTTTGAGGACACCCCTTTATTTTATTTATTTTGGTTTACAATTTTATTATATTTTGTATAAGTTTAATTCTTGTAAATATATAGTTGATACCAATATTTGCATTTGTATTATTTTAATTTATGTATAAAATTTACTCAGCTATTATGTTTAAAATGTCTAAGATCAATTTGTTTCAAAATGTTTAAAATTGTGTAAAATCAAATCAACGTAAAAAGTTCAAAATTTGTGTAAGATCAAATTAAGAAATGTTGTGTAAATATTGTGTGTAATCAAACCAACATGATTTTAATTACTCGTTAAAACTGTGTAAAATCAATTAAGTTAAGAACATTTAAAATTATGTGGACTATGCCACCAACCTGGTCATAATCAAAGAAATTGTCAAAATTCCCAACCAAGATTTAATTCGTTATAAAACTTGTAATTTTATTTAATTTGGTATTGTAATACCCTCAGATAATGATTTTAGTTTGATGCTTCGTTTTATCAACTTATTGTATTCTGTATTTTGTCTATTTGAATGAAAATTTATGTATTTATGTTTTATTTATATCCAAATAAATTGTTTTTTATGTTTTATTTATATCCAAATAAATTGTTTTTATAATGTTTTAAATTTAAAATAAAGTTAAAATAAAATAACAAATATTCAATATTGGTATCAATTTTAAGGAATTGGTAAAATCTTTTTAATAAAGTAATTTGTTAAAACTAATAAAATGTGGATACAATAATTGTATAGTTGAAAAGAAAATGATGTAATAAAAAATAAAGGTCTTGAATAAAGGTTTAAATTGAAAAATAATTGTAAATGATGTAACTGAAAAGAAAAATGATGTATATTTGTCCCACCAAACAGCGGTGGTGCTTTTTAGATGAAAAGCAGCCATCTTGATTTGCTTGTGACTCGACACTTCCATGACGTCAAAGAAACAGTCGACTTCAATTTACCAATCTAAGTACTCCTATACCCTCATGGTTTCATAGAAGTAGGGACTGTTAGCTTTCATGCGGTAATCGGATCTTTACGGGGTGATTCGGCTTCTTCCTCGGAT